GGTGGTGAACGCCCGGACCGCGCTTCTCAAAAACATCAAGTAGGGAACAGAGCCACTCAGAACTGGAAACCTTCCCCTCCTCCCAGCTAGCTCCCAGGCCGTGGGGCACCCCTCTCCTCCTCACGCTTACCGCTGGCATGGACACACACACTCCCAGCACCGGCTGTGGGAGCAGGACTGCATCCAAACGGAGTGCTCTTGCGATGTGCTGGAAAGGGGGCAGAGTGCTGAGGAGGGGAGAGGGACCCCAGAGCCCTCCCTGCATCCGTGGCCCCAGGTCGTGGTTGGCTGAAAGTGCTGAAAGCAGTGAGATGCCCACCTTCCCGCCTGCGTTACACCTCCCGGGAGTTACCAGCCATGGAGGGGCTTGGATGTGTGGCTCTAACCTGTGGATGCAGCGAGGGCAGAGCGAGATCTGACCCGAAAGCTGCTGCACCTGAATGCATTGGTGTCATGGGTGGAGGATGCCCAGGAGGGGTAGTGGGTTGTCAGTCCTTCTGAGTTACGCTGGAGCCGCCTCTGCAAGGCTGCCCGTGCTCAAAGCCACACGAGCACTGCCAAGCACTGGGGCCGTTCAGCTCCGTGGTCAAAGCTGGCTCCTTCAACCCGCCACTCAGCTATGCTGCTTTTGGCAGTGAGGAAAAGGGCAGGTTGCTTGAGGAAACCTCTCTGGTACTGCAGGGAGAAACTGGCTCCAAGAGCATCCCAGTCTTCCCTGGCCCGTCTGTCCCCTTCCTCCCCAAGCTGTCATGGTGCCAAGGACAGTCCCTTTGGCAGGACTAAGGCTGTCCCCGAGGCACGCACCTCCTCATCACAGCCCAGTCTCCTACCACCATCTCTTTCCATCTCCCTGAGCTCAACTCGTCGGGAAGAGCCCCTAAGGCTGCAGGCCCTCAAGCCACTTGCTCCCTCTGCTCACACCGCGCCGGCAAGCTCTGGGTAGGTGCCACCATCCTCCGTGGGGGACTGTCCGCAGGTGTGGGTGGCCCTGGCTATTTGCAGGCAGGAGGACGGTGTTGACCCACGGAGGAGACAACTCAGCCTCCAACAGGGCTGCCTGTCGCCTCTGCCCTTCCTCCCCTCGGCCAGCCCTGTCTCCCGAGCTTCGCCCGCACCGCGGAGCTGCGTGGGTGCCTGCGGTCTGCCCCCTCGCTTCGCCCCGCGGCGCTCTCGGGTTAGGTGAGCAGCGGAGAGGACGTGTTCTCCCCCAACCCTCTTTTCTCACAGCCGCAACGCGTCGCCCCGCTTTGCTGGTTTGTGTTACGGGATGCTGATCGGCCGGTGGGTGCGGGTTGCTCCCTCCTAGTCACAGCTGTGGTTTTCTTTGAATAGTCTTGCTGATTTAACGGGGAGCATTGCTGCTCACCCCAACAAGTGCTTGTAGAGGTTAAAGATCTGAGAGTTGTCTTCCTGAGGGAGGTCAGAGCCATGATGGCTGCCAGGCTCTTAGAGGGACCAAATGGGAGATCCCTTGGCATTGCCGTGGTTTTGTTGGGACCCAGATTTATTTCCTTGCTCCTGGGTGAGCTTGGCAGGGAAGGACAGAACACTAAGCTGTGAAATGAAAGCTGCTGAGTGTGTGTATGTACCCTTACCCCACAGGTATCCTCTTCGAAAGTGTTTTCTCCTGTGGTCAGTGCAATATTTATTTTTTTTTTTTTCACTTCAAGGCAGCTTTTCTGTGTTTCTCCTTCAAAATATATCATAAATCAACAGTAGATTCCAACACCCACCCCACCCCTTTGGCAGCAAGCATTAAGGGACTTTAAAGCCAGTATCATTTTGCTCTTGCTCTGGTTTCTGGTGCTGGGTTGCTGGGAAGAAGAAATAAGCTGTCCTGCAGGGAAGCGCCTTTTACTCCTCTGGTGTAGAAATAACCAAGGGGAGATGCTGCTACAGGAGGTTAGTGTTTAAAGTAGCTCCATTTTTCCTCTCCCAGATGTATCAAAAGCTGGGCTGGGGGAGATCAGCCGGGCAGGCATTGGAGCTGCGGCAAGTTACACCGACAGGGTCTCGTTCCACACATCTTCTAACGCTATGGAGTTCACTGGAAACCTCCCCACTTGTCTGAGTGGAGGAAACCACCTCATTCTGGCTTCAAACCTATTGCTCTGTATTTCTTTTCCATTGAGGAGGGTAAATAACCCCGTTGCTGAATGGCGCACTTCACTTTGAGGGTGAGATCTCAGTGCCTGGAGTGGTTTAAAGGCTTCCTCGGTTCCGGCTGCTCAGGGGCTCTCCAGGTCTGTTGTGCCATACACGGTCCCTCCTTTTGGCTCCTTAGGTGACTCTGGCCACCGGTCCCGGGGTTACTCCTGTGTGTTTACAGCGCTGACCGGATGTTTGGAGACGATTACACACGCATGTCACGTCTACCCATGCCGGTGACCTTCTAAGTTGTGTTATTTTTATAAATTAAACCCCCCTTTGGAACAAAGGAAGCCCTGTGAGCTGTCCTCCTGCGGCGACCGCCTGCTGTTAATGTTTAATTGCCCTTTGACTCATTTCTCTCCTCCCCAGCCGGGTCTGGCCGAGGCCGGTGGTGAAGAGCTGCCCTCCAGGGTGATGATGGAGGTTGTGAATCAGCTCCGCAGGAGCGGGAACTGGGTAGGGGATGGAGGGAGCAGTGCAACGGGGATGCGATGTGGGATACACCCAGCTGCGGTGGAGCCTGGATCTGGTCAGGGAACCCAAAAGGGTAGCTCCGTCCTTGCTGCGTGCACACACACCTCCGCACCAACAGCCCTGGCAGCGTGCTTCCTCCATCCCATCTCCATCGGAACCCCGAGCTTCAGATCCCTCCGGCAAGGCTGCCGCCATCCAGGCTGCATCTCTGGCCTGCAGGTCCCGTGTCCTCCTGCCTCGTGCGAAGAGCGAGTCGTGCTGCTGAAGCGTCCGTCCTGCGACAAAGGCCGCAGGATCTGAATCCCATAAGAAGGGACTCTGTTCTGCAGCCAGAAACGCAGCCAGGAGCCACCTCTGAAGATCTCTGGGAAGGGAAAGCCTCCCTTGATGTGCCTCAGGGCGCTGTCCTGCCTGCCTGCGCCCTGCCTGTGCTCTGCCTGCTCTCTGCCTGCCTCCCAGCGCACCATGGAGCCGGCAGGTGGGAAGGAGATGAGGATTTCTGGTCTGGCCCCATGCCGGACGTGCCCAGGCAGGGCCCAGGGAACAAACCCTCTCCTGAAAGGAGGCTACACCCATCCTGCTTCAGGAACCAGTGCTAGGTCCCCTTGCTGGCCTTCAGACCAGTTTTGCTGGCCTTCGGACCAGTTAACCTTCCCAACCAGGGCGCATCCAACATGTCCTGCCTGTGGCCAACCTGGGATGGGTTGGCATGGGCTCCCCATACCAGGCCACATCCCGGGGCAGGTGGCCAGGGCTTAATGTCCTTGTCCCATGCTGGCCAAGGCACGGACAAGGCTCACTTGCTCTCCTTTTCACCCGCGGCAGGACGGGAATAACCCCGAGCACAGCCAGAAACCTCCGGGGAGCTGTGGTTTTGACGTTCTCATTTTGATATCAATTACTTTACAGAAGCAATTCCTTCCCCTGGCAAAGCAGCCGAGATGGCCTCGGGTGGGGACATGGGAGGACATGGTGCCTCCAGCCATGGAGAGGCTCGGGGTGGCCGGAGGCTGCTCCTCGCAGCGTGGTCCGGCGCTGATCCAGGGCATCTCCGCCAGCTCTGAACCGCAGCCGATTTTCCAGATCCAGGGGTGCGAGAGGGGGGGTCAGGCAGTGGCTGAAACAGGGGGAAGAGGAGGGGGAACTTTGTGAAGCGGTTTCAGTGGGGTATCGGTCAGTTTGGGGGGTGATTTGGGCAGCGGAGGCGAAGGGGGATGTGCTGGGGAGGGGGGAGCCTTGGGTTTCTCTGCCCCCTTTTGGGGCTGTGACCCCAGAGGAGGCTGTGGGGTGAGTGGAGCTGGGTGAAGGGGTGGGCTGGTGGGTTATATGGGTGCTCGTCCCCCCGGGGTTGGGGTTCCCGGCACCCAGCCAGTCCGTGGGCACTTGGTTCAAGATACGTGGGTCCCTTTGGGGTGCAGCCCCGGACGCTGTGGGGTCTGCGAGCTGCCGGAGGCGGGGGGGATGAGG